CTGGACGATCCATGCTTCTGTGTTGCCATCTTACTCTGGTGCAGAGCATCACCTCATGGTGCCCTGGAAGACTTTGGCAGATCAAGGCCCTGAGGATGCTCAATGAGAATCAGTGACTTGTGCAACAAGGGCATTTTAAAACTGCTATTTACAGCCTCTCCAGTTTTGTCTTTCTTTTCCATCCTGTCCTCTTTTTTTTTGTTTTGGTCTTTACTTTCTTGGGAAGTGAGAACAGAAATTGTGACACCAAGTGTGGTTTCACACATAACACATCTGGAGCATTCAGCCATGGAAATTTCTGCTTAATTATGACTTACTAGTTCTTGTTTTGTCTTCTTTTGGTTAAGTTGAACAGTAGAAGCGATCATAACCATGAGATCCAATTGCTCCTCAGGAAGCATCACTACCTGTCAGTTACTCAATACTTTTGTAGGTGTACAAGCCTGCATATTTTTAATTAAACTGAGCAAAAATATAGAAAAAAATCAAAACTAGTTGGCAGAGGTCAGAAAAGAAAATAAATGAAGATGTTAGGAAAAACTTCCATTTTACTTTAGATTGCTCACACTTTCAGACTGGAGTGAAAAGACCTCAGAGAATTTCAAAAACCTAAAGTTTTTGTCTTGAGCCTTCATCCCAAACATAATTCAATGTAAATGAATTATGACTAAAAAACAAAAAAAAAATATTCATTTTATTTCTAAAGACAAACCAGTATTTTTCCAAACAACTCTAATGAGGGATTTGTGAAATAATAACTTGTCTTTGCAACAGTAGCCTTCTAATTAGACTTTCATTCTGAGGTGAATTTTTAAACCCTTCAGACCTGAGACATTACACACAATCCTCTATAATCTCTTCCTGAGGAAATTATTGTATTATTTAGTGTTCTTTGTGCTAGGTAATTACAGCAGGCTTCTTTCCTCCTTTCAATTCCTTCTTCTCTTATGCACATTTGCAATGGGTTCCTAGGGCCACAGTCTCTGCTGTTTTCCAGTGTATTATTTGGTGAGATGCAGCAAGAAGTGCTGGGACACAGGCTTGGAGGGATTATTCAGCATGGAAGACTTGGGTTTTTAACACAGAAACTGCAGTGCCCTTTGCCTTCAATACACATATCTAGACAAACACAGCATAACAGCTGCCTCACAGACTGTATGAGGAAGTGCAACAGCAGGGAGAAAAAAGCACATGCAGAGAGGAAACTCTGAGAGTTTCCAGATGGCAAACACCAGAGCAGAGGTCAGCAAATGTTTGAGATGATTGCAGGCAGTGCTTTTCCACTGCCCAACTAAATGTTGAGTGCACTGCTGGGGAGGAGATCTCTATCTTGAGTCAGGACACAGGCAACTGGTAATGCTTCAGCTCTGTTCAAGACTGTGCCTTTTGGCTCTGCTGTATTTTTCACTTGGTGGGAGCTGGGAGCTTCTCATGGCTGCCCTCACAGAACATCAGAGCTCTTTAGACAGCAGTTGTTAGCCCTGGCTTTAAAGTTCCTTCAAAGTTGTGGGCTTTGAAAATTAGGAAGGATGGCTGACCCCCAAGGCGTACTTGATTTTCATAAGAAGGAAACAATGAATAAAATGAACAATGAATAAAAGTAATGTTCCTTTTAGACTGGCAGAAGAGGCAGCATCTGTAAAGCTTTCTGAGAAGATATTTAGTCCAGCATGCTGGGCTGGAATTCAAGTGCTGTATGCTGTTCCTGGCTCTGCCAGAGCATGTCTGTGACCTGTAACAAACCCCCTCACCTCTGCTTGCTCTCTCGCCTTTTTTAGCACCATTCCTCAGACAAGCACTCCAGTGCCTATACCACATCTCAAACAGCTTCTGCTCAGGATGTTTTCTCCAAAGGCAGGACTCAGTGTATTCATGCAGGCCAAACTGGACTGCATTCAGACTTTATGAGCTAATCCCTATTTAATGAGGCTGGTAAGAAGTTGTGTATATATATATATATACACACACACACACACATAGCTGTGTTTGTGCATTATAATGCAATAGCACTTAATGCTGAGGTAATAGGAGCTCTGCATACTTTGAAAATGAAAGCCATAAAAAGTGAATCTTGCATAAGGAAAAAACAAGTAGCCTGTTTCTTAGTGATCAGCTTTGTTGCCTGGGTACCAAGTACAGAAGCTCCTTTTTGCTTTTTGCCAGGAGCCTGTAAGAGCATGCTGTATTTTATTTCAGTCCAGAGCCATTATGGCCATTTATCCATCTCCACAGAAGTGCTCCATTTGCTGCTTCACATAGACCCAGGCTGGCATCGGGGACAGTCCTCCCTGCCTGGTGAGGGAACTCACCCAAGGCTGCCTCAAGGATCTTTCAAGGGGGGGATTTGAATTCTCAAAAGCCTTATTGTCTTGGTAAGCCTCAGAAAACAGTGATCCTTCACCTATCTGCTTTTCTGTAAGCCACTGAAAGAATGCAAGGCTGTGCTGTGCAGCAGCTGTTGGCTGTATCAAGTGGGATAGCTGAACTGGGGTGGAGAAAAAGCAGCAGAGACTGCTGGATTTGAGATTTTACTAACCTGGAAAATCTGTGATGACTTGCTGATGTAGTCTGCAGACAAGACAAGACTGGTGTCTTGAGACACCAGCAGATTCAGTGTGATTTACCACAGCATCACTCATCAGCTGAACCCCAGGAATTCACAGCACTGCAGTTGGAAAGACTGCATAAAGCTGAGGTGCTGGACCTTGGGCTAAGGACAGTCATTTCTTTATTCTGGGAATGAATTTGCTTTCTCATTTTCTATTGCAAATCAGAGGATTCATTCTTCAGCTCCAAGTCCTAGAGGCTCTTGCAGAATTAAGACAGGTTCCTGCCTTCCCATCAACATGTCTAATAAAATTGCAGGACATAGCAGGTCCCTGAACAACGAGGCCGCAAGCCCCAGTACCCTTGAGGGGCTTCCACAGCCATAATCACCAAGGAGAATTAATTACACACAACTGGAGGAGTGAAACCCAGCTGATTCCCTTTAAGCTGCAGTGCAACCTCAGCCAAGTCAATATGAAGGGAAAAACAGAAACTATCTTACTGATAGTAGCAAATTTTCAGTGAAAGAATTTATTTGGACACTCAACATTTCCAGGTTTTTCAGAACACTTAACACTCCAAGCCGACGTAAAGAAAAATGCCAAACAATCCTGGTGAAGTTTTCCCAGAAGTTCGTTCCCAGTGCTGGGAACAGGGTTTTTTTAAGTGAAGAAGCCTTGCAGTGAAAACACAGCAGTTCTCAAACTGTAAGAGATCAAAATGCTGGAAAATCTCAGCTTCTTCCCACTAAGGCAAGTACCTTTGCATTTGGTGGAAAGGCCCAAAGTCACAGAGAGCAAAAGCTGCTGTTGCTTTTTGCTACTGTTTCTCCTTGCTCTCCTTCCCTGAGGAAGGGCTGGAATTAAACTTCTTCTCTAATCGATTCTAATGAGCTGTAGTGAGGCACTTTGATCATTTGTATTTTTTGTCTTACAGTAAGTGGTTGTAGGAGTGATGGGGGTACACAGTAAACTGGGCCAATTACCCACTGAATCACATCCAAGTGGTGGCTGAGATGAGCTGTCTGGCTAGACAAGCAATAGCTTTCTTTAAAAAATTTTCTTTTTAACTTTTGTACCAAAAGTCACATTTTCACCAGTTAATAGCAAGTCTAGAGACAAGAATTCACAAAGGGGAGATAAAACCCAGCAGTTTCAATAAAGAGCTCAAACACAAATTGTTTTTACAGATCAACTAAAAGGAGGATCAATCGGTAGTTTTTAAACTGCCTTTCTGAAAAGCAAATCAGCTTGACCATAATAATTTTGAAATTAAAGAACCAAGAAATACTTAACTACTTTTATATTAAATCTTATGAAGTACCAACACATTTAAATAGCTGCTTTATCGGCCTATAAATATCAGCTCTAATATTCAGTGACTATGAGTAAGAGAAGGTTTTACTCCCAATTCCTTTGTCTACTCCAAGTTCTCCAAGGAAACAGAAAGAACTTGCCATCAAGAGGCAAGACTGAAAAAAATACCAGGAAGTGACTAAGATTGTCTCTGCTCACAACTGTTGACTTACCTATGTCCCCACCAAACATACCACACAACACTCAGAGGCATCTCATCCTTTTAAAAGCCAATTTACAGAAGGCACAGGCTGGAGCATGCTTTGCTTTCCCTTCAAGGTCTTTCCTCACCTGGTGAGGGCACAGTAGAGGTGCTGGTGTACAAGTGTAGTTCTGAGACTTACCCAAAGCATCTCACCAGGGAGCTTCAGTTTCCTCTCTGAATTTAAGAGGCGCTGCAACTCCCTTAAACTTAAAGGGGATCACCTCCAATCACACCTTTGATTACAGTTAGCACTACTGTGACTGAGTCCTCTTCCCTATTTGGTTCTGAGAAATGTGAAGTGATGAGTCAGTATCCATGGGTGGTTTCTCAAGAACTTGAATTTACCCTTGGAATACTTTCCAAGATGCCAGACACCTATTACATATCGATAATATTTTCAAGTACCTGGAAAGCCTCACTTGTACTGTTTGTTCCCAACCCTTTCCCTATGCTGCCATTTCCACTGGGTTTGCTGTGTGCTACAGTATTGTAAATGAAGCCTTCAGGATCTTAGAGAAGTGACCTGGCTGTTCTTACTGGCACACCACATGAAGTGTTCGTAGTAAAATTCAATGTGTGCTGGTACCTTTCACCTTGGCTTTGAGGGTAGTCAACAGGGCAGAGAGAGTGAAGTGCTTCCACTAAAACTCTTGCCACCTCTAAAGCTATAGACTTCGAAACTGATGTTCAGTCTGCTTTTCATTGCTTGCTTTAAACACCTTACTTTTTATTAGAATTCAATTGTGCAATGACTGCTGAAGACACATTTAAGTAGAAGATGTATCCCAGAGCACTGAGCCCTGTATCTCAGTCTGCCTTTGCAAGGATCCAACAGATTAAGGCCAGAAATTTTATCCTGCAGCTGTTAACAGACTCAAGAATATCAACAACAGTGTTTTTAAGTGCTTTATATTTATTATAAAGTATTAATAACTAAACTTATGGAAAATGATTCTCTGTACAAGAGAGTAACATGACAGCTTTTACAAGTTCTGCTATACAGTACATGAAATGCTGCAGATTTCTTCAGCCGCTTCAAACAGTATTTGCTATACAAGTCAAAAAGAGTAAACTTAGAAGTTTGTTTATAATACAGTGTGTTAGAAAGCACAAACAAGTAACATTCAAAATAAACAAGCTCCCAAAAATCAAAAGAAATCTTTAGATGGCATGTACACAGATTATACTCAAGTTTCAATATACATGTTATTGTTCCCCACAAGATGCTCCACTTTACTGGATTCCTGGAACATGATGAGAATTGAAGGTGCAAGAAAAGCACCTCTCAAGCCACATAAGAACTGGATGGGCAGAACAGCGATTTCCTGAAGTGTTCTCCACAGTCTTTGGCTTTACTATTCATTACAGCCATATACTGTGGCAACACATGAAGAGAGACAGGCCTCAATTATCAGTACTGTCAATGCCAATCCAGTTATCTGGGGAGCTGCTAGAGCAATTCAAGGCACTCTTCCCAGTACTGCTAGCCCACAGAACCCCCTGTGCAGGACACAGCATTTTAAGAAAACCAGGCTGGGTTCTTGAACAACATGGAACAAACAGTTCAAAATAAACTCCTTCAGAATGTCAAGTTCAAAGCTCATTCATACTTCACTTCCCAGGCAAACCAGCCTAGGAGAAACATTCATGTGTGTGTCACTAACACTTTAAAGCACACTGCTTCAATGTGTTTAGTTGCTTCTGGTTAAAGTGATGTAAGGTATCAGCAGCTTTGAAGATAGTGTTCTTGGGGCATGGTGAACTTCAACTCACAGTAAGTTTTTAAGCCTACTTCACAGTTTAGCAGTTGTCTCCTTTGCTTTTCCTTCTCCTTAAGAGGCAATGTCTACAATCAGATTTTACAGCTGTTCTGCTTACAACAAAAACCAGAATGCCAACACCCCCCCAAAAATGTACCCACAGCAAGTTTGCTCTGATGCATGTGGTATTGACACTTAATTGTAAGCTTCTCCCATAATACAAAATAGCTTCTAGATTGAAAAGATTTAAAGATATTGCATGGTTGTATTTTACTTTTGCCTCCCAATCTCATTCCAACTATTTACGGAACTGTAAACAAGTAATTTTTATAGTCCTCAGTACTGTACACCTGCATTCCCAGGAACTGGAATTCAGTGACACCTTCATTAGAGATACAGTAGCCTAAGCACAGTGAAAGTTCTGTCCAGCTGCCCTCTTCATACAGTAACCAACAGGCCACTCCTCCCACATTCACACCTTCAGCTTTCTCTTCTGATCAAAGTAGGCATCAAATCTGGATAACGCATATTCCTGGGGAAATAAGGGACACTCAGTACTCAATAAACAGCTGTTTTCTTTTTGGGATGGGGAAACATAATGAAGGTATTAACTGTGTTACTTTGCTAATCCATCATCTCAATGCACTAATTAGCTCTATTTAGAAGGATAATCTCTCCAGAGGTGTTCTGGCTTCTTAACATTTCCTCCAGTTTTGTTTCAACTCTAACACAATTAGCTGCTGCCAAAATGTCAGAAAACACAGGTACTAAAAAGACCAGGACTTCACTAAAAAGGCTGGCTCTTGCAACACTTCTGGTAAGATACTCCATGTACCTGCCAGTCCTATCACTTTACAGTACACTGAGCACAGTCCAAGAGCCAGACTGATCAGTTTCTCAAGTACAAGTTGCTACCTGGCACAAATATTGCTGCACACTGAACATCACTAGAGGAAATGTGCATTTTGAGTACTTGGTTCAAAATTCTCACTGCATCTTGGCCTGTCTTGCCTGGGATGTCTTACTGCAGAATAATGTTGCAATATAGCCCGACAAGGCTATACACTCTCTACATAACCATGGGAACAATTTCTGAAGTTTTTATGATCTTGGATGTTCTTTACATTCTTAATGAAAGAGCATAAAGTAGTAACAAATGGAGTTTTTAAGCTTTTAAGCTTTACTCCACTTAGATACTAGTTGCTGTGAGAGGCCATTCCATTGCCTTTTCAATACTGTACCACAGGTTATTTAGATTACTCATTTTCAGTTGTGTAAAACTACAATTAAAAAACTTACCAGGTACCCAAACTCAATGGATGAGATCTTTGCTTGTATAATAGACCACAGACCCCAGAAGAAGTGTGATGCAAGGGCAAATCTGAAATGACAAGGCTATGTTACTGAAATAAAGACCCAGCTAAGTCACAACACCTTATTTCAATGTCCTCTTAGAACAGTATTCCCTAGTTTGGGGATATCCACACCTTTTATTCAATTACAATACTATAAAAATAATGCCCCATGGAGTAGTATTCTGCTTACTCCACTATTAGTGTATATCACATATCTAATGTTACAGTGGACAGATTGTTCTTTACTGCATACAAATAGCTTTCAGTCTCTCTCAGCTCAAGTTCCTCCACCCAGTGAGACAGATACAAGTACAGGTACCACGGTGGAAGCCTGAAGATGCAGTTGTACAAGGCAAGTTACCTGTTAACTTCTACCAACACTTCTTCTTCTAGTTTGGACTTCTCTTCATTGCTCAGATTTTCAAAGCCATCATGGAATGCAGACAGGTAACTAGAGAGGAAATGAAGCTGGAAGGCAAGTAAACAACTGAGTTACAACTTTTCATCTCAAGATACACTGTTTCCTTTCAGACCTAGGCAGTCCTTTTAATAAGTTGGCATTTATTTTTCCAAACATCAACAGCTGTTGGAGTTAGCTTTAAGATTAATGGTGCTTCTAACAATTGCTTGAAAGTCTGACTTAAAAAAAGTTATATTAGGACAGGCAGCACATTGCTACTGCCAGCTAATTTCATAGTTGCAGTCTACAACTACTGGACTCTTTGTGGTGGATGGCTACACAGCACACAGTAAATATTCTATCCTGAACAGGTATTAAGTTACTATGATTTTTAAAGCAAAGGTAGTCAGGATTACAGAAAGTATTACACACTTAAGGAAGTCATGGAAGAAATATCTTGGGACACAGTCAGTCCAAAAGAGAATTAAAAAAGAGTTAATATGTGAAGACTACGGACACTGGCATTTAACTATGTCTTTTGTGTCTACCTGTTGTTTCTTTGAAGGATATTTAAGAACACTGGCTTTGAAGAATGGGTATTTCTCATACGAGTAATCATACATCCATTCACAGAAGTGATTTCCAATGTCAAATCCTCTGAAAAAGAAATAAAGTACCTCAGTATTTGCAAAGTAGCAATCTGGTTTTTTTTTAAAGCAAAATCAAGTTTAAAAGCTCTGGGCTACTCAATTTACTGCAGTTTTGCTGGAGGTAGAGAATTGATCAACCTAATTGATAACTGAAAACAAATTTTTGCAAATTATTATAAGACAGTTCATAAAGAGGGGCAGTTCAGAATGAAAGCTACCAGCTACATGAAAATACTAGACTTTGCTAGCAAACTTTAAAAATACTTGAGTATGCACTGTATCTCAGTGTGAAGTCAGAAGTCTCTAATATTTGCATTATTGCAGGTAAAAAGATCATAATCAAAGTTTTCAATATATTCCACTGACATTATTGGAATTCACTATTCCAGCTATGGTGATGTTTCATCTCATTAACTATACACACTTGATCATCCTTAAAAACACTTAACTAGATGGCTGAGTGAAGAAAAACAATCATGTTGCATAACCATGTAGTGAAAAACTTGTATTCTCATCTGCAAAGGTGAAAAAGCCATTAGAAAGGACAGAAGGAAAGAACACAAAAGCAAAGCTGACATGCTCACAAAATCTACTCTTCTCCTCAACTTCCCACTAGAAAGAAATTTTGGCATGCAAGCAAGAAGCCATTTGTGCATAAACAAGCCCTCTAGTCTGAGCAGCCAAGGAGCCCCAATAACTTTGCCTCTGCTGTGTGCCTAAACTTAACAGAATCAGAACCAGAGCTGTTTTGATTAGTTATATATGCTAACCACCACCATCAGAGCAGAACACAATTCACTAGAATAGACAAATAATCAGTATTATTGATGACTTTGATGGTATTATTGACTTGGTCCCCCTGTAGCATGCAGAAAGGAACACACTCCCGTGCTGAAGAGAAAATGAAGTGTTTACCGGTAATTATAGCTGCTGTATTCAAAGTCAATGAGCATCAGCTTTTGGTTTTCTGAACTCTCTCTGCCTTCCAGAAGTAAGATATTACCTGAAAATTAAGATAATACAGCATATTTAATAATGCAGGAAAATCAGAGAAAAGCAACACTATCTCAAGGAACATTCTTCAGCTAATCCCATTTATCCCTTACATCTGCATGGAAGAATTATAGGTGTGCTGGTTTTGGCAGGGGTAGTTAACTTTCTTCATAGTAGCTGGCACAAGGCTATGTTTGGATTTGTGGTGTTGATAACAGACATGTTTTTGTTACTGCTGAGCAGTGCTTCTGTAGAGTCAAGGTCTTTTCTACTTCACACCCCAGCCCAAAAACTGACTGGGGGTGCAGGCAGAGTTGTAGGGAAATACAGCTGAACAACTGACCATACTATATGCTCACTATATAGAGTGGGAAGAAGGGAAGAAGGGATTGGAGTGATGGTGTTTTTCTCCACAAGTCACTGTTGTGTGTGATGGGGCCTTGCTCTCCTGGGGATGGCTGAACACCTGCCTGCCCGTGGGTAGCAGTGAAATCATCTCTTTGTTTACTTTGCTTGTGTGAGCAGCTTTTGCTTTCCCTAATTAACTGCTTTTATCTCAGCCCATGAGTTGTCACTGCTATCTGTCCAGTTCTCTTCCCAGTCTCACTGGGAAGACTGAGTGGCTCTGTGGGGCTGAGTTGCCAGCTGGGTTTAGTTAAACCATGATGACAGAAAAAGCCAGGTTGCACAGACTGTTTTCCAGCTCTCTGGAATCTGAGATATATAGCTTTACCTTGTAAAGCTGAAAGCAAAGTTTTTTGTGTACAGGGAGAGGCAGATTTCATCTACCAAGGATTCTCTTTCCCCAGTTTAGCTTGCAGCTGGCTCAGGTGGCCCTGTCAGCCTTAGCAGTCCTTGCTGCATTGTTTCTTTCCACAGCTTGAGATTTATATAAATTTCACAGCATCTCTCATATCAGCATTTTCCTCTTGTGCTGCCTATCCTTATGTGACTATCCTCCAGGGCAATTCCTCAGCCTTAGCTGACAAAGCTGGGACCACTGACAGGAATACAGCCCTGAACACAGGCCCACTAGAGCATTCTTCCAGCTCAGCCCAGCTTACCCACTGTTCAGGTGACAGGGCACACAAACACAGCATACCCAACACACCTTCAGCCTTGCTTCCTCCTCATCTTTTTCAGTAATTGGCTCAGGAAAATTGCTTTTCCTTCCATGACTCCCAGAGAACACTAAAAAAAGGTGAATAAGGTTTTCCTAATGTTTCTTACCAGTACAAGTTAAAAACTGCCACATCAAACTACCCTACTCTCCATTGTCACTGTCACTCACTGCACTTCAGCATCTTTCTTTTAAAATGACTTGGGTATCCCCAACTCCGATCATGTATATTGCAGCAAAGCAAGGTATGGTCTAAACAAAAAACACATAAGGCTCCCTTCATTAACTGACCTGTACTAACAGAGCATGAGTACAATCTTGGCTTTACCCACTCATGACACCAGAGTTCTCTGAAGAAGCCTGAAGGGTTGCAGAAGCCCATACTTTGCTTTGGTACTGGAGTACACAGGCTGCTGCTTCAGGGCAGTAGCTCTGAATGTGGCTACCTTTCAGCGAGCAAACAAATAACCAGAAAAGGCTCAACAGTACATTACTGAGCAATACTGAAGTATTAGCAGCTTACCCTCTTGACAGTCATTGTGGCAAAACACAACTGGTGAAAAAGTAGCTTCAAGCATTGCTCTAGAAAAAAGCAACATAGCATCTTTTAAGTAACAAATCACAAGTTCAGTTCCACTTCCAGGTAATATTTTATTAAGAATTTGAACACTATTCCTCCTGCCAACGGCCTATTTTCTCAATTAGGAACAAAACATCAGAACAGTGAAATTTGACATCACTATCAGGAAGTCAGATCAGCAATTTCATCATAGAGTTTTCTACTTGTATGAGACTCAGGTTGGTCACAGAACCAAAAACAATCCCCAGCTTGCAAAGTAAAAGGAATATAAAGTGTTATACTGTATAACATGTCTGAACAAGTATACAAAAACCCATCCAGAAACTGTAGAGATTAGAAGATAGTAGTAGACAAAATAAACCTACCTTAGATTTTTCATTTCCTGGGGGAGATTGTAACTGAGAAGTTTGTTTAGTTTTCTGGTTTGGGATTCTCTGGTAAATTTAATTCTCAGCACTTGATTTAGATACCTGTTAAAAAAAAAAAACAAGAATACAGGATGTGTAACAATGAGTATATTATTCTTCCCATACTATGATGCCATTTAAACTAAAATAAAGGAAGTTTGAAAGAGTTACTGAAGAAAACATTACTGTTCTTCAAGGTAACTGAAGTCCTTTATGTGATAGTTTCTGGGTACAGTGAAAGCTTGTGTTCTCAGGCATTCAGGAAGAATGATCTGCTTATCAAAATTACAACAGGTCACCTTTTTTCCCATAAAGTATTGCATAACTTACTTTTCCATTGTTCCAAAAAGCCACTTAGGTTCCTTATTAAATGGCATTTTCATGCCATGAAATCTGGCCATCTTCTCAGCTATTTCAGCAGATATGTCAGGTAAGCTTAGTTCTTCAGTGCTCAGTTTCCTGCTCTGTAATAAAATACAGTATTCTTAAAATGCAGTTAATTGATGAGTTACAGAACTGTGACTAATTATAAACTAGCATTAGGCTCTATGCAGTACCGTGTGAAACACTAGCATAGTACTCAAGCAATACTCTTTTTGCTCACAGATGAACTTACAAAGTTGCTGCCTTTGGAAAAGCTGCTAGCCAGCCCTACTTACAACTTAATCAAGTCACTTCTAGATTCAAGACCTGGGGAGTATCACATCTCACACTAAGAATATCTTCAAAGCAGATCAAGTATAAATATTTAAGAACATCAAAAGCATCTGCTCTTGTTGCTGTTAAAGGGAAGTGTTACTCCACAGCTTCCCCATGCTATGTTTGGTATCTAACAGGCTTTTTATCTTCATTTATTAGCCTCTGCTAGAGCTGAAGAGTTTTTAGATATCTCCCCCTGGCAAGAGCTACAATGGGGCTCTCCAACACCCACTCTCTTAACTGTATCAAATGACAGCCAGCAATTACTACAGGCAGTCAAGTATTCCATTCCCACATCCCTGCTTTTCTGGGCAGTCCAGAGACCTCCTTGTCATGATCAATTAAAACAGCTTCCAACAGCCCACTGACTAATTATGACCAGACTTACGGGAATGAATTCCTCCAGTCGCCCTTGTGGGAAGATTCCATACAGCTTTGGCCCAAGTGCTCTCTCTGCAAGAATGGCAAACATAACACTTTCCAGAACCATGGCTTCTGCCCCCTACCAAAAAAATTAAAGTATTAGTTATTCACTAATATGAATGCACAGACATTACCTCGGGTGTGTGCAACAGCTAAACTGTTAACAAGTGAGAAATTTTAGGGCTGGCTTTGAAACGACTCAGCATTTTACTCATCAAAGTTTCTTGACTAATAACTTTTAGTCAGGATGGGAGCAATACAAGTATTTTGCTTTCAAATTAAAGCTGGGGAGGAAAATCTGTATTACTTAGCAGGTACTGTTGTGAGCCAGATCAAAAAAAAAACCAAAACTGCAAAAACCAAAACACCTCTCTAACCTGTGGGAACTCTGCAAATTCATTTCCTGGAGGAGTTCATCCCACTGCAACACAACAAGGAACAACAAATATTATCCTATATCAGCTATTTTAACCCTCTCCAGAACACTGCCTCTGAAAAGGACATTTTAGCTACACAAGTGAATGAAGTGAACAGACAATAATAAAATATTGTTTTTATTGAATAAAACAACTTTTCATTTAGAAGAATGACTAGTTTTTCCTTCCACTAAGCACACTAAGTATTCCCTTTTTTATTTTTTCAAGTGAGGAAGTAATTTAAGCTTCTGCTAAAGAACATGTGTGTTTTACCCTTTCTACCACCAAGCATAACTCAAGTTTTCTCTTTGTCTTACATCAATAGGCTTGGTTCTTAATGAGAAGCAGACAGCTTTTTAATACGAATGCTTAAAAATTAATAGAAATATGAAATATTTAGTCTCAAAAACACAGTTAAAAATCACAGAAGTGTAGCTTTCTGGATGGGTAAGATTATCTATAAGTAAACACAGAGGTCACATTATAAATCTCTACTTGTAATTATGTTCACCAGAATCCAGCTCTACTCAAATCCTAAAGATCTGCCAAGCCTCTGTCTATTTTTGAGCAACTCATCTCAAAGCCAAACCCATAACACTTAAAAGCATAAGGATAAAAAACACAACATCAAGAAAGCTCTCAGGTATTTCTGACCACAGATCCTTTTGCATTATTGCAGTCAACACAGTATCAGACAGTAAACAACTTTATAGAAGTTTCACTCCTGAGTACACTCCAGGCAACAGTATTGAGAAATGATTTTTATTCTTGTTCCACACCTTATTATTCTGAGATCTTCAATTAGTTCTAGTGTTTCATATTGAAGTGCAATAAAGACTCATGTAACTGTGTTGTGGAAAACTGAGACTTTAAGACAATTTACATATGAATGTATTGCATCTATGTTCTCCACCTTTTTTTCATGCCAGTTCCTCAAAGCACCAAATGCTTTAGCTACTAACACACCAAAAATGTTTTTAATCATTTCACATGCCCTCATCATTACAGGTCTGAACTCTTTCTATTCAGTTTTGAAACTTAATGCCAAGCACCAAAAAGAAAATTAGTTGCAAGCTACTGAATGTCCACTATTATTAACCAAAGTTGACTTGGACAGCACCTGGTACAACACCAGGCATTTTTAAGTCTCTTCCCATTAAGGTGTCAGTTACTTGTTTCCATATCTTACTGAAAAGCAGCTTATTATTCTTGGATAACAGGAAGTACGAAAAAATCCTGTTATTCATTAAGACATCTCTTCATGCATCAGCAGTGCAAGCACTAGAAAAACTTCCTCACTGAAACCAAATGGTTATTTGAGCACAAGTCCAATGAGAGTTTTGGAACAATACCACCCATGTAATCTCAGGCACAAAGGCTTCTCCTTCCTAATACCCAAGGGACCTTTTACCAAATCTCCACTCCACACACTACTGCCAAACATGGGATAGGTGTGGAAATAAACTACTAAAGGACATGAAAAAAATTCTATAGCATACTTCATATGGAGACTGAACAAATCCAGGTATCTGACTCCTCAGATTAATGTTCATCTGATTACTTTAAAGGACCAAGCATTGCAACCAAGGAAATTATAGATTCAATGACTTCAAACACTTTGCAACATACTCATGCTTGCCAAGACAACCTGTTATTAAGAGCTAAAGCTCTCAATTTTTAACAGTTTCAGAGATTCACCCATAAGCACTTGTATTTAGATTTCTGGAGAAAATTGGACCACTCGTGTTTTTAAATGAATACTTAAAGATCAATGTTTTGTTTCAAAGCTAACTATTATACACATTTGTTACAAGACTTCCCCAGGATACAAATCCCATACAGGCAAGGAGAGATCAGAAGCCTTTCTACACTTCAGATGGAACTGAAGCTTCTGCTTTTTTCCTGCCTCAACAAAAATTTCACTATAAAATACACAAAGAGTCATATTCTAAGGAAAATTACTGCCAATTATAGCAAAACCAAAGTAAAACAAATTCCTGTTAAAAGGCCTTATGAGCTGACAAGACTATCCAATGTTTAGACAATTGTCACACACCAGGCAGCTCAGAAGCTACAATGCTTTTGCTAGCAAACCCAGAGAATTTGATTCTCTCTAAAGGATATCATCTCTCATAACCTAGACACAAGAAAATTAACAAATCCATCCTGACAGTAATTATTGAGAACATTGATTCAAGAGTGACATTTTAGCTCTGAGATTAATGGCAGAAAACAACCTATCAGCAGAGAATCAGTATTTTCAAGCAACAAATACCACAAATGAACTTCTGAAGTTCAAAACCTTGTTTCCTATACTGCAAAACTTCTATGAGCTTCTGTCACTGGAGTGGAGCTTGTTTGGACTTTTGGGTTTTTTTAAACTAACTTTTATTTTTTACAGGATTATGGTAGAGAAGAAATCAAGCCATCTCCATTTCTCATCTTTGAAAACTGAGGTATCAAACCAGTACATTTTTCTGTTCAATCTTGGTTCAGCTGATTGAAGCTGTTCCAGTAAGCTAAACAAAGTTCAACAAAACTTCAAAAGCAGTCATTCAACAACAAAAAAATTTAAAACCAGTTTCAACTCAGTAGGAAAAAAAAACCCCAAAACCAAACAAATGCTTGAAAATGTTTCAGATGGCATTACCAGAAGGCAAAAAATACAAGGGGAGAAAAGCAGCACTTATCAATTAAGTAAAATTTACTTTTCCCTAGTCATTGCCATTACAGAACTGAAAACAGAGAACACAACAACCAAGGCATCTGGCTAGCATGCTGCAATGCTTTCCCTTACTGAGAAAATACTGCCACAGTAGAAATCTAAATTACCAAATCCCATTCACATGACTTTATGAAAAGATAACTCAGTTAAACATTATGCTGCAGGAGAAGAAATTATTCCAAATGGGAGAACTTTAAAGTTTTCAGAGCAGAGATGATCCAAGCACAGTGCTGATCAGGAACATTTCATGTTCAAGAGCAAGTTCTCTCCAGCTCCATGTACCTTCCTCATAGGAGTTCACCAATACATTAAAAAATTAGGGATTAGTTAAAGCAGAGAACAGTTGTTCATCTACTTAAGAAGAGTCTGATACTAGAAATAGCAGTGTTGACACCAATATTCAAAATGGTAAGAAACCATTTAGAGTAGAACTGGGGGTCTTTTTCTTCATAATGTGAGATGCTTGAATCTTTCCAAACTATGTCCAGACACTCACATAATGCTGCTTCTGTGAGTAAATACATTTCTTTCCTTCATTACTTTTTACATTTTCTAGACACAGTCCAGGTGGAATAACTACTGGTTTAAAACAAGCAGGATCACCACATTTCCCTATAATCTATAAAATTCTGTGAAATAAGCAAATTTAATTACTCACTTGCAAGTCATTTTCCTTCTGAGACTGTACAGACTCTCCCTTATTACACGACCTCTATGAATGAGAAAAAGCAAACACAATGAGAGGATGAAATTTAAAGTTATTAACCTGCAACCACCAGAACAAAGGGAGTAGAAGTACCAGCTACAGTTAACTAAAAGTCTCAACACTGTCTTGGATCTGTGACAGCTACAGCACTAGTATCCATCTGACCTCTGACCACCACATTTTCAACAATTCCAAAGTCTTTCAAAAGGATGTGCCACTGAGACCAAGACACTCATGTAAATAGCTGATTTTCACTTATATTTTTATTATTCCCCAGTCTTTCAAAACAATTTCAATGCACCATAAGCTCAGAGGAATGTTTTTAATTAAGAGAAAATTAAGTCCCACTGCATTACATCTGGGATGAGATTCTTCCAGCCGAAGCACTTGAGACACATTACAGAGTACATAAAAGCCTTAGAAGGACTATTGGAAGAGGCATGTTATAAAGGTTGCAAAGCACTTCTTCTGCTTATTACCTTATTTTCCAAATTTCTTGTGGCTAGAATTTCCTTATTTAGAGTGGGTCTTCTTGGCTGTTTGTCCAGTGTACCACTGGCTGTGCAAATACAAGATTTTTCTTAGAATGAACTGCCCATGTCAGTTAAAGGTCTCCCAGCAGGAACCACAGTATACTAGCAAAACTTTAACAAGTTCCATGCATACTGTATTGTGCTACGGTTGTTAAGAGTCATTGTAAAGCAGTTTCAGAATATTAAACCATACCCTCAGCAACTGAATCCTCAATGGCACATGCTTTTAATAGAGCTGCACATTTAAAAATTCAAGATGTATTATAAACCTTGTCCTTTAAAGGGCTTGAAGGTAAGGAGAAGAGAAAGCAAATATCTGCTTAGAATTAGTGACAGTTTGTGGCTGCTATTTATGTTGCAATTCCAGCATTGACTGTTTAAACCAGACTAGCTTTAGAGGCCCATAAAGGCAGCCAGCATCTCCACCTTCTGAACACAAACATTGCATTCACAGAACCATGTGCATACCTTCCTGTTCCAAAGCTCTAACATGTCCAAAACAACGGTGGAAATATGAACTTAATGGAATACAGTTAAGCAACACCAGCTGCCTTAAATACAATACAACAAACTAATGATTTACACAAGCTCTGCAGTTACAGTATTTCAGAAGCTATAGAAGAAGGATAGTTAACAACAATCGATGGTCTTTCAGCAAGTACTTCCCATAACACTACTATATAAGTTTAAAACAAGACAATATGGAAACTACTATTACTTTATATTACTTTCAAGGAAATTAATGAAGTCCAAACATATTCACTACAGCTAAATATGTAACTACTGAATAGCATTAAAATCATTTACAGAGGGCTTCTCTGAACAAGCATGTTCTACATCAATACCACTCTCAGATTTTTCTTGAACAGTCAAGGTTACTCACCATTCAGGAGTCTTTCCTGAAACATGGTGCTCTCAGAATGGTTCAGTTCAATCAGAAGGTAATCACATTAGAGTTTTCCCTAGAACCTGAACTGGCATCTGCTTTCCAGAGGTCATACTGTATAAAGAGCTAGCCAGTTCCAGGAGTCCACCTCAAATTAGTGTTGGAGACAGCCTAATGGCATCTACTGTGCCATTAGAAAGGGACAGTTAGGGCTTTATTGCAGAGTCATCACAAGAGGAGACTTCTGCAGCATCCCCTCCCTCTTTTCTGTTCCCTCAGCATGAAGCATTAGTTTCCACAAGGAAAAGAGCACAAATATGTAAATAACTTGCAAATATGAATGGGAGCTTGGAGAGGATTAGTCTTCACAAGTGGCCATGTACTCAGCCTAGGATTAGGAAATTCTTCACTATACATGGGCAATGAGAACAAAGTAAGCAGGATGCAATGTTATGTACCAGACGTTTAAAAGTTTGATCAAGTTATATCAGATACCTTATTTTGAACCACTCTTCTCAGAGGTGATTGTGGAATCAGGAAATAATCAAATTCCACTACTTTAATCTGTCAGCCTATTTAGCTCACTTGTTCTTGGCTAAATCTATCAATTTCAGTTTTTCCATAACCCTCATAGCCCACTCCAACTAATGTCCAATTCTGGGAGCTAAATACATCAACAGAAATGAGGTGATTTTAATTACCTGAAAAAGAGGCTCACTCTAACAGAGTAACTGTTAGAGCTTTTTAATCACTCTCTACATGGACACTAACTAGAAATGGACACGTGTTCTACAGGTTCAAGATTTCTTCAAATATTTGTTCAGGGCTTTTACTGTGGGACGATTTATTCTCAAAGCCCTGAGAAAGTTCACTACAGTTTTAGTAAGTGAGGACAACTATATTCAATATAAGTAGTTTAGAGTCAAATTTGTGATCATGTAAATTGATTTTAATGCAGGATACAAGATAAAAGTCCTAGAATGGGAAACAGTACACATTGATCTGTGCTCAGATGACCAGACAGCGATTAGACATCTGGCAATTTAATACAGAAAATTGAGTTCAGCATTTTCTTCCTAATGCCCCCAATTTATTTCTTTTGTGGCTGAAAGATGAAGTCCCTTATCAAAAAACCCAAATGATGCTTGGCTGAAGAATTCTGCACAGAGAAGGAACTTTTATCTCTTTTTATCTTACATAACTTTGAGCTCTGCTCGCAAATTTAAATATAACTCAATTTTTCTCAGCTTACTCAGCTTGATTTTCAATACTTTAAAATACTGTAGCACTTGGAATTGGATAAATTGCTAGGAAATCACAACATTACAAGGAATTGTCTCAGAGGTTAGATGTGACCTGTGCAGGGAAAACTTTTCTAGAAGCTGTTGACAGACATCAGTTTGAACTTCAGTGTATGGAACAAAACCAGGGTTAGATTCCACAATAACTATTTCTGCTTCTAAGGATCTGCAATTGATCCCATATCCCTGTCAGACCTGAAGGAACTGATGCTAATTTGTTGAAGTCCTAAAAATCTAGCATGTGAAGAATCCCCAATTCAAGCTCTACAAAAGCCACAACTCAAATCCTCTACATCTCAAGTTACCATTCTGTTATGAGGGAGCAGAGAAAAGGAAGGGACAGCTTTTTGATATTCTGTTATTGCCGTAAACATTCAGATGCACAGACAGTAGCTGGTGCTACTTAAGGCTTACTTTTAAACAACGAAATCCAATACTAAAGAAAATGAAAGCTGTAGAGAATGCTCCACTTCAGAGATCTCATACTATACCGTGAATCGTGTCTGTCACCTGGAAACCAGAGTGCTCTAGGCACGATCGCATGGGCAAGCCTGCAGCAGAGAACACATGCATATACAACTAAAGTGGTACATTACCCCCAGAAAACCCTTAATGCCACCCAACACAAATATATCCCCGTAAGAGGTGCTTGGTTTCTTTCAAGCCTTCTGCCAGTGCCAGGGATTTGTAGTTACTCCATGCTACAAACAGACATGGACACCAACAACCACAGAAGACGTTGATAATTACAGTTACACAGCAGTCTGCATTTTATTTAGTTACACAAAATAAAAGGCAGCAAGGCAGGTATGGAAAAATATTTACCACAGAACTGTGGCAACCATTTATACTCATTTTGCATCTGTTCACATAGAAATTGAGAGACCAGAAAGGAGCATTAGGTATACTGGTTTGTTTTTCCTCATTTGTATACAAGATTTTGTTTTGGCTGTTGTAAAGTAACAGAGCCCCAGTGAGTCAGAGTTCAAGGTTCTTTTGACACATGTAAAAGAATGGGAATCAATCCCTGATTTACCTTTTGAGAGGTGAACTTAAATTTCACCTTAATTTGAGCTTATTTTTTGTTGATGCCACCTTATGTCACAATCCTATTAGCATTTTTAAGATGCTACTTGGAATTTGAGTAGAAACACTATAGTGATATGAATATGAAATCAAATTTTCAAGTCTGGACATTAAGTGGCATATTGTTGGATAGCCTTTTGTTTCAGTTGTTAACACTAATACAACAAGTTAAAGACATTTTGTCACAACAAGTTTTACTTTCAGTGCTCCTGTTTAAATTTAGCAACTAAGCTGGAGCAATCATAAGTGAAGCAGAGGAAGACATTTCCCTTTTTTAGTGTAGGACATATCTGCATTGTGCCTCAAACATTGGAGTTTTAATGTGGTTAGTACTTTAACCTATCACAAGTACAATACTCGTCTTAAAAAAAAAAAAATTCTGCTCAAGGATATACTCAGGAGAAGTCCTTGATTTATAAACATCCATGCCAGTGTGACCATTCATAATAATGGCCGAGCCAGTTCAGTTCATCTCCACCCAGCTCCCCCCAAACAGTCATGCACACAAAAAATTGATTTAAACATATCAGCTATGACAGAGGAAGGCACAAAGCCTTCCCTGTGTGGCAGCTTTAGCCAGCTGGCATGGTTTATATTGGATGAGTTTCATGTACTGACATTTGTGTCTTCCAAGTGTCATAATAAGCAAACTGGAGCTATTTTCAAACTGCAAAAAAGGTTCCTTTAAAAGGTGGCTCAAAGAATTATGGTGCCAGTATCATTCATTCTTAAGTTAGTAATCAGGGACCCATTTTTCACTTGTATTCAAAATTTTAACTTAAACTTGTCTTCTGTATGTACAAGAATTTGGTGCAGGTTGCTATAGATACACAGTATTTACAGTAAAGGGATAAAGAACTGATATCACTGGTTTGTGCTCCAATTTCAACAGAAGGTAAAATGGACAAGAGTTAAAACATGCTACAAAGGCTCAAACAAACAAGTGGTAACTACTAATACCCAGTGGCAGTTACAATTAAGTCATTGAAAATTAAATTGTGATTTTAGCATAAGGTCTCAAAACTCAACTTACTTAAGCAGTGTTCCTTAATTTCTACAGGGTTTTTAACTTAAGCAACTTTACTATAAGTATCAAATTACTCCCTATTAACAGGCTTGTCATAACATTCTGCTTATGCCACCCAGAAACTCATAGGAATCCCATGTGAGGTTTTCAAAATACCCAATAAAACAGTTTGCTTATATTTTAACTTGCATTTAAGGTAAAGGGGCTGGAAGAGACAAATGTTTGTTGACAAAAATTGTGAACCTCAATGCAATCAAAGTTTTACCTTGGGACTTTCTCTGCTTACTTAACCATTAGTGAACTGCACCAACAAGAGCAGTCATTTCACTGCCACTATGGAAATAAAGGAAGTTAGACATCTCAAAAGATCCTTCAACACCAAGAGCAGAAAGGTTAGAAAGTTATGAACACACTTTCAATTTCCAAACCAAATTGGTTCTGATTTTAGAGCCCAAAAATTTATTTTGATTTCTTCAGTAGATAGGGGCAGAGAAGAGGCAAGTTAAAAAATACCCTGAAGGAAGAAGAGGGCAGCCAAATTCTATAGTCTACTTTATTTTTCTTTGAAAAATAAGGGAAAGGCCATATTTCTTTACAGCTCTTGGGAAACAGAAGCTCTACCACTACAATAATTTTACAGCCCATGTTCCTACTCAAGCTTTCTACATATTAACTCAGCATTACATTGAAACCATTAATAGTTCTTGAAAAGAACCCCAACTCAGCATCAATCCTAGGAGTCATTTTGAAAACAAAGTTTCACATGACCCTTTTTTTGCTCTGCTTTTAGTTTCTCTTTAAAACTTAAGACTATTTAAGCTTGAATTACTGACCTTCTACACACTTTCCTTAAGAGTTTAACTTTCCCAAAACATATGATGCTGTAGCCAAGCAATTCATGCTCTTCCAAACCACTGGAATATTTTACATATTTCTGGTAAAGTTTGTTACCACAGGAAAGTTAACAACTCACATGATATAATAAAGGAACACTTCAAAGTCAGTAAAGCAACAATATCTAATGATATTTTTAATAGTGAGCTTGGTCAAGACAGCAGAAGCAGGAAGAATGGGCTGAAATTTCAGGAACAGAAAATCTTCTGCAGATATTGGATCAGTTGTTCAAAGCAAGTGACTGAGTACTGGAAAATATAAAATTAATGGATAATAAAACCAGACCCTCTAAGTTAAATAGAAACAATTGCCAACATACAGATGTAATGTTATGAAGCTGCAATTTTTCATAAGGTTAAACACTTACATTATGATTGCTTATTTACAATGTAATCGTTATGTGTAGCAGAGATGGATAAGAGAAGATCTGCTGTACAGTCCTAGAGTAACAGTCTGTCAGCTTTAGAAGAGACCACATGTACAAAATAGTCTTGCTTTTAAGTGCTACTATTTGAAACAGATTTGCCAACTGCTTCACTTAAGGTGTGACAAATTTCAATGCTATTTACATTTTACTAGCCAAATAAAAGTATCATTAAAAGAGTTAGACAAAGCATCCGGTTAAGCTTCTATGCCAGCTATACGGCACTCCACACATTCAGGAAAGCATATTTTGGAATGAGATGACTGTACAGTATTGAAGTTCACACTTCATTCTTATTTTAAAACTATATTTTCAAATTTTCTAGCAGCACAATTACCCATGATATCTAATAAAATGCTTGAGTAGTGTACAAACTTGACAAAACCTTCAACTAACCTCCAAGATTCATAAGTGCTATCAAGACTAAAATCAAGCAGTTTAGTCTCGCAATCTAGCTAGTTATGTCAAAGTTCTACATTCTGTACAGAAGCAAATTTTTTTGAAACACCACAGTCCAAACTTAAGACCATAAACAAAACATTAGTGCCCAAACAAACAGCAAATGAGCCTTCAGCTAATTCACACCAGTTGGGATCTGCGTAGAAAGGAGTAAGTCCTAGACAATAACAAATCATTAAAAAACTGTTTTCAGCTTGCAATCTACCCCCCACCACAGAAACATTCCCTAAAGGATAAAGCTCCATAGTGTCACAAATGAACATCTTCAAGCATATTACAGTGAAGCTACAGAAACCCTCCCACTCCCAAAGCACTCTATGTACTCACCATCTGCAGGATTGCACCGTATAAACGCAGGAGAACTTTCCGTGGTTCATCTGCAACTGTCTCAATGGTATCAGGTAGTGAGCACTGAAACAGCATGTTGCTGAGGCCACCTCTGGAGACAGAAATACATTGATTAGCTGACTTGGATAAGCACATGTTTTGTTTTTTCAGCAGATTAGAGGTGAACTAAAAATCCTTTGGGTGTGATTAATTGGTCTGCTCTAACAAGAAAGTTTTCCAGCAGTACCAATAACTCATAACATATGAGGTTTCGATAAAACAATGGCAGCTTCATGCTTCTTAATGTACAGTTCACCACCCAGAGCTATTGATCCAAATAACAGCTCAAGCTATTAACAAACAGATGTAAAATGCAACAAACAACTATCTAGATCTAAGCAAATTATTTTCAGCCATGCTGGAGTCTTGTCAGATACACTTGGCTACACAAGCAAAGCTACGGCAGAATAAGTTTAAAACCATGCAGTGAATATAAAACTCCAAGTTTGAATTAAGAGTTGCTATCACTGGGAGTGGCAGCTCAAAATTCAGCTATAAAGCATTCCTGATGAAAGTCTTACTTCTGCTGTCTTTCTTAGGGACACATTTTCAATTTTTTTTTTAATTTACAATTAAAGCAATTCTTTATTTGAAATAAATTGCTCATGTATTTGTCAAATCCAAAACCACACTCAGTTTCTCTGGTCTAGTATCTATCTAGATTGATAAAGCTGTGGAAAACAAAACAAATGCTACCACTTTTTCCTGTAAAAATACTGTTGTTAAACAGTAATTATATTTAAAAACTAACATGTTTGTGTATCATCTAAATGATTGAAGCATAGATTTTCCTAGTTTGTGCCTATCTTGATGAGATTCTAAGTTTCCTGAACTTCTTGTAGTTCATAAGAACACCCATCTACTCAACCCACATTTTCTTTACTGCATTGCCTTTCTGCATTCTTATTATTATCATGAATGAAATTTTCAAATTTTCCTTCTGCAAGTGATTTTGACTGTAAGATGTAATACCTTGCAGTGACCTTGGATTACAAGAATCCACAGCAGATCCAAAATGTAGTGTCTAAAATGCAATTCTCAGTCCTAACCTGACATTCCTTTCAATGCTTTTTCAAATATTGTTCTCGGCTCTCTTTCAATACAGTGGGGAAGCAGAAAAGACTTTCTGGAAAAAAAAGGCTACCAAGAAGGAGACAGTGGCTGGCCTACATACCCAAAGTCAGCAACTGAGAAGAAAAAAAGAAATC